GGCGGGATGGGGGAGGCAGAGGGCGGCCGTGGGTAGGGGGAGACGGCAGGCGGTGGCCGCGAGGCTGACGGTGGAGGCGGCGAGGGCAAGGGGGAGGCCTCGACGATGTAGCTCTCGCTCGCAAGGGCCACGGACGTCAGGGCGGGCGCGAGTATGAATACGCGTTGGGCACGCCAAATGGCGAGCTCGCGTTCAAAGTGGTGCAGGGGACGCGCGCCGGGCGTATGTTTGTGTGTCGAGTTTTCGCCCATCTAATTTAGTGTTCAACGCAGACAACTCTGTGTCGTGTCGCCGTCGCCCCGCGTCGGCTGCCACACGGCGTGTGTGGAGTCTTCTGCTGTGTCTAGAGAGTAGCGTGGTTATTGGTGGGGAGACCCCTCGACTCTAGAGTGTACGGAGACTCGACACTCGTGTGCATGTGCAAGTCCAAGTGCATGTGCATGTATGTGCATCTTGTGCATGTGCATGTAGAGTTTGGTCCCACGCGTGGGGCTTTGTGATGTTTTTACGGTAGCTTGTACGGCAAAGAGACAAGAGAGGTTTGACTGCTGGTCAAAGGAAGGTCAGAGAGGAGAGATGATACGCTCGGAAACACAGGCGCACATTCCACACGCTCGTATGCGGCATGCCTTTGGCCCTCCGCCACAGGAGTTTTCACGTGCTCAGAACGGCAGCAGGCGGAAGCCCTGCGAGCAGAGGGGAGGGAGAGGAGGGAGCGCGGGAGGGGTAGAGAGTGGGCGGGAGGGACGAAGGAGAAGGGAGGGGTGGGGAGGACGTGGGGCTGGGAGTGGGGCTGAGGGTGGGGGGCTCGGGCCGGCCCCCGCACCGACTTGAAGCAGAGGCGGAGCGTGCGCTGGCCAAAGGGTAAATACGAGGCGCCGCTCCAAGCGAGCGCCCCGAGCCTGTGCGCGTTGAGGAACGCGGGGCGGGGCGGTGAGGGCGGAAGGCGCGTGTTGCCAGAGTACGGCGTACGCAGGCGGCTGCGTGGCGGCCCCCAAGCGACTAACACGCATCTGAGCCCACAGCATCTAAGTTCGGCGAACTGGACGAGCACAGCAAACGTGACTAGTAGCTGTGACTGCAGCCGCAGCACGGCGAGCAGCGTGCCGCACAGCGAGAGGAGGTAGATAAGCGACGCGACCCGCCTCTCCCTCGAGCACATCAAGCGGCACATATTGCCCCATCCGACAAGGAAGCCGATCGCGCAAATCGAGAGCAGGTTCCCCAGTGTGTATTTCACTGCAAACGGGCCCGGGCTACCGAGGAGCAGCGAGGTGAGCGAGAGGAGCGAGGAGCCGAGCATCAGCAGGCCCGATACGAAGCAAAAGGCTGCACCGACGATGCGCTGCCGATATGAGAGGGCAGGCAGGCACCAGCAGCGGCACCAATACTGCAGCCGCGATGCGGGCGGGCCCATCCCGCCTCGCCCCATTACTCGCATTGCGACGGAGCCGAGGGAGCCCGCCTCCAGGTCGGCCAGCAGCGGCAGTCGCTCGTCCGACTTGCGCACGAAGAACGACGAGGCCTGCTTCCACGCGTCGGCGCCAGCACTGGTTGCGGCGCTGCTTGCGCTCGCCCACGACGCCGACGCCGAGGAGGGCGTGCTCATCCAGCGCTGCGTGCCGCACGAGAGCTTGCCGATCTGCGCGCCCAGCGGGCGATGTGACGACGTGTCGTCCATGCGAGTGACTTGTTGCCCTTCGCACTCTGGGTTCCGGCTCCTAGCCAGATAGGGGGTCTGCGAACTGAGTCGCGCCAAAACGCCCTACCTACCTACCTATTGCGGGCGCCGACCGCCAGGCTCCGTGCCCCACCTACCTACCTATTCCCAGGCCGCGCAGCGAAGCGAAAAAATACCCGTTTGGCCCTCTGTGAATAGGCTCCCAGCGCCCGAGTAAACGTGCCGTTCGCGGCTAAACGTGCCGCCGGGTCTGCCCTGCTCTCGTCTGCGCTAGTTTCTGCTTCGTCCTCACCGGCGTCTCTCCTCTTCCTTCTCCCCTTCTTGTATGCTTTGCACATCGCGTCGATTCCTTTTCGCGTGAGCACCAGCCTGAAGCCCGCCCAGCATCTGAACCGCTCCCTAAGTCGAAGGAGCATCATCAGTCTCACCCACTTCGCTCTCTGCCCACCGTCTCCGCTCCCTCCCGCTTGAGCCGCCGTCGCGGCCCTCGTTCGTCCCACTGGCTGTTGGCCCGTCCCTGCGTTGCCTGCGTTATCCCTCCTCTGCGACTCCCTCAAGGCCGGCCGAGCCTCTTTCCACCCAGTGAAGAGCTTCCTCAGCCACTCGATGTGTTCCTCTCTCTTCATTATGCGCGCCGTAGCCTCATCATTGAGCTGGATCCACCTCTGCACCGCGCCCGTCGCCGCCTCGGCCACGACTTGCAAGTTCCTCGTGAGAGCAGGCGCACATCGCTTCCAGGGAGGGGGGCGCGCTTCTCTGCACGCCCCACCCCCCCCCTAGCATGTGGTGAAGCCTCTGGGGGGGTCGGGACCCCCCCCCTAGCATGTGGTGAAGCCTCTGGGGGGGTCGGGACCCCCCCCCTAGCATGTGGTGGGCACCCCCCAGCGGTTCGTAGGCTAGGAATAGCCGCCAGAGAGCCGATTTTGCCCCCAAAGTTGTGAAATCGTGGCTGAAAGTCCAATATCTTGGGGAATCTGACCAGTCTCAAGGCTCATGTAGCTCCAAAGGATGATTTTCCTCTCGAAAATGCTGCGAAATGAGGTGTAAAAACAAGGGCCCGGAGGGCCTCTGACCACGAGTCTCTGGGGGGTCCTCGGCCATGACCC